ATAAAATAAAGCGTAGAGAAAAATTGTAAACGGCCAAGCAATAAATCTGCTAAGCCCCCCACACAAACCCTAAAAACAGGTCCTTTATTCCCAGTAGGAAACTAAAAATAATAATAAAATAAAATAGGAAACATAATCCTAAATTAAATGGTAAAATTCGCCTAAAATCTGAACAGCCACGTTTTGGACCCATAAGCTGCTCCAAAACTGGCCCAATATAGCTGGATTTAATGTTTGGAATATTCTGAACACTTCTCCAGAAGGCCACGAACCCATCCGAGGCCATCTTGGGCTCCAAAAACGCAATTTAAGCCCAGAAACGTTATTTTTCAGCACCACGCATCCCTCCTTTATTTTATCGCCAGAAAATAACCGCTTAGTAAAAAAATCCCAAATTTTGATACAATCAAGCTAAGTGACTCACGAACGTCCTCCAATAGAAATTACTCCAAAATCCGTCCATTTGGTCATGTTTTGCTCTAGAGGAAGTCGAAAGTCCTATATTAAAAATATAATTCAAAGTATCAAAATTCTTCCAAAATATTAACCAAAATATACTAAGATTAGGGTAAAATGTATAATATAAAATATATAATATACAATTCAAAGTACCTTCTGTTATTTCTCCACTCCCTTGCCCTGCCCTGGAAGGAACAAATTTGAATGTAATCGACTTCTTTTTCCAATGAATTCCCGCTAACGATCCAGCAAGGTCGACGTCTGTTTTATTTTTCTATTATAATGCTGCACAGAAATGAGGAACAAATATGTCAAAGAGTTAATAACAAACAGTTACTTCACCAAATAGAACTATGAGAGCAATAAAACCAATCCGCGTATGCGAAAATAAACATGAACGCATCGTATTTAATTTGAGCTGTATGTTATCAAGGGGCAAAGGAATCTTACATATTGATATCTCTAGAATCGACGGAGGCTTGGGGCGTGCGAAACTCACATTTTCACTAGGCTGCGGATTTTCTTGGATCACCTCCTCTTGGTTATTAGAGAAAACAAGGGAACTAGAAAAAGGAGAGGATCCTGCTTTCAACGTGCTGAGGGTCAAGATCTGTACAAGGTCATCAACATCTTGCTTATACACTAGACGACGGGCGCATGCATGCTGCCATATGTCTGGGTTTCTGGACGTCAAAATTGCGCAGATTCGATCGCATTGGTTCAAGGATCTAGAAAATAGAACGCGCCGTATATATGAACCAAGTGAAACAGCAGGCATCCAACCACATGGCTTTGTTTGTAAACTCGGCGCCAAAAATTCTCTCGGAAGCAACATTGGTGAGCAGTTCACAAACAAGGGCTGGATAAGTTTGCGCAGGACAAGTCTCTTCTGAGTCGGGCGTTGTTTCATTAGTAGGACGATGTTCGTGGACAGCGAAATAAACACATACAGCAACTCCCAACCAGTTGCTATCATCGTACAGATTCGGAGGCAGTTGAATTCGCGCATGAGATCCGCTTCTATATAACTGTCCAAACCATTTGGGAATTTTAATTCCAGGGAAGCTGCATGTGAACTGAGTCGCAGGCCAGTCCTGTAGTATAATTTCCAACGTAAGATATGTAAGTGAATGTATGCATGACCGAAACAGAGAGAAAAATATATATGCGCATACATATACTGATATACATACATATATGCATGCATATATTATATATATATAGAGAGAGAGAGAGAGAGAGCAGCCTCTCCATAAATGGGGTAAGGCTAGCTGACATTCACCTCTCCCAGACTCTGCGTAAAGCGGGAGCCTTGTGCACTGGGTACGACGATATAAAGAGAGAGAGAGAGAGCCGATTTCGAAAATCTTGTGAGGTCGCCTGATACTTTCTTGCCCATGCAGGATGTAGATTTTTTGTGGTATTCTGTCTATATTTTCATACAAAGGTTACACAAAATATATATAAGAGTTTGAGTGAGTTGCAAACTGCACTCAACACTCATGACAGCCAGCATAGGATTCCATGCGCTCAACACTTACGACAGCCATCATAGGATGCCACACTAATCTCCTTAAATCATGCAAATCATCTCTCCTAAAAGCATGCAAGATAGCTAATCTTCCTTGAGGCATAGGGAGCCACTCGGCACTTGAATGATGAAAAGATCAAGAAGAAAAAGAAGGCTATTAACTAGATAAAAAACCCTAATGGAGTTGACCCTAATCATGAGTAGTCAAAAAGTAACCGGTGGTCCTTCCTTCAATACTCCCCTTCAAGCTGGATCCAAAAGGTTGATGGATCCAAGCTTGCCAAGAAGAAGCTGAAATTGATGAGAGGCCAAGGATTTGGTGAATAGGTCCGCAAGTTGATCCGAGCTCCTTACAAAATGAGTTTGGATAACTTGAGATTGAACTTGTGTACGAACATAGTGACAATCGACTTCAATGTGCTTGGTTCTCTCGTGAAAAACTGGGTTGGAAGCAATGTGCATTGCAGCTTGATTGTCACAGAAAAGAGACATGGATTGATGATTGAAAACACCTAAGTCACACAGTAAACCTTTGAGCCAAATTAGTTCACACGCAGTAGATGCCATGGCCCGATATTCTGCCTCAGCACTTGATCTTGCAACGACCGTTTGTTTTTGCTTTTCCATGAGACAAGGTTGCCTCCCACAAACATGCAATATCCCGCTGTAGACTTACGATCAATGGAATTGCCAGCCCAATCTGCATCACAATAACCTGTAATCTGAGTGCTTGCATTGTTCTTCATGATTATACCACGGCCCACAGAACCTCTTAGATACCGAAGTATCCTTTTGACTAGATTAAAGTGCTCCATCGTGGGAGAGTGCATAAATTGGCTAACAATACTGACAGCATAGGTAATGTCGGGCCTTGTGATGGTCAGATATATCAACTTACCAACCAACCGCTGATAATAGCTTATGTTCGGAAAAGGTTGACCCTCTAAGCTGAGCTTGAGTTTAATGTCGAGAGGTGTAGGGACCGGTTTAGCATTACTCATGTTTGCTTCCTTAAGGAGATCAAGAACATATTTGCGTTGGTTAAGGAAGAAGCCCTTGTGAGAGGTAGCCATTTCGATGCCAAGAAAGTATCTCAGTACACCAAGGTCTTTTATTGCAAAGCGTTGTTGAAGAGAATGCTTGAGTTCTTTGATTTCTTCAGCGTTATCTCCGGTGATGATCAAGTCATCAACATACACAAGAACAACCAATGTACCAGCGGTGCCTGAGCGTACAAATAAAGAGGAGTCCGCATTGCTTCTTTCAAAACCAACACTGATAAGGACTGAACTAAGCTTAGCATACCAGGCTCTCGGTGATTGTTTAAGACCATAAATTGATTTGTGCAGTTTACACACAACATCCTGTTTATGACTTTGAGAGTGACCCGGTGGTAATCTCATGTAGACGTCTTCTTCAAGCTCACCATGTAAAAAGGCGTTTTTGACATCCATTTGATACATAAGCCACCCTTTGTTGACAGCCACGGACAAGAGGACACGCAATGTGTTCATCTTTGCAACCGGAGCAAAGGTTTCCTTGTAGTCCACATCAAATGTCTGAGTGAAGCCCCGGGCTACTAATCGTGCCTTGTGTCTTTCTATAGACCCATCCGAGTTGAATTTAATCTTGTATATCCTGCAGCCTACTATCTTTTTTCCTTTGGGCAATGGCACAATGCTCCAAGTTTTATGTTGATCGAGTGCATGTAATTCATCTTGCATGGCTTGCTGCCATACTTGGGATTGGTTAGCTTCTTGAAATGATTGAGGCTCTTCATGTACAAATATATTACTCAAATAGGCAATATAATTAGGTGACAACTTTTGGTAAGAACAGTAGTTGGATAAGGGGTGCTTGGGCTTGTACGTAACAAAGTCTTGCAGTCTTGCTGGTGGGTGCCTCTCACGAGTTGGATTTCGTCGAGCTATGATAGGAAGAGACTCCTCTGAAGATTCTTCAGGACCAATACTGTGTAGAGTTTCATCTTCCACAGGCATGTTGCTGTCGTCATATGAAGCCGGTTGATTTGGGACCACAAGATCCATTGTATGAGGTTGATCACCCAAATTGTTGAGTATCTCAGTCCTTGGCAGTGGAAACATGTCCACGATAATCTCCCCTTGACTTGTACCATCCAGAGACTTACTGTAATAAGAATTAGTTTCATGAAATTGAACATCCTTTGAAACAATTAATCTCTTAAGTTGTGGATTGTAACACTTATACCCTTTTTGTGTGGACGAGTAGCCAAGGAAAATGCATTTAGTTGCCCTAGGATCAAGTTTGTCTCGATGTAAGGGCTGAACATGAACAAAACAGATGCATCCAAAGACTTTAAGATGAGACAAGTCCACCTTTCTGTTCTTGATTATCTCCATTGGAGATTTGAACCCCAAAACCCTACTAGGTAACCTGTTGATCAGGTAAGCAGCTGTCATGACGCCTTGAGACCAAAAACGTTTTGGTACATTCATTTGTAACATCAATGCCCTAGTTTTTTCAAGGAGATCACGGTTTTTTCTCTCGGCAACACCATTTTGTTGGGGTGTGCCAACACAACTAGTTTGATGTATGATTCCATTGTTACTCAAATATTGAGTCATGACTTGGGACATGTATTCAGTGCCATTATCAGACCTTAGGGTTTTGATTTGAGAAGAAAAATGATTTTTAACAAGGTTGTGAAAGTCCTTAAACACTTCCATCACCTCACTTTTTGATTTTAACAAATATAACCAGGTGGTTCTTGAATAATCATCAACAAAAATTATGAAATATTTATAACCATCAAATGATTCACTTGAAGGTCCCCATATATCAGAGTGTACAAGCTCAAAAGGTTGAAAAACTCTAGACATCGAAGACCCTAGTGGTAGTCTTGTTGCCTTTGACAAATGGCAAGTTTCACAGTGGGTTGATTCTTTGCCTAAATCAGGGAATAAGGTGGACAAGATAGGTTGAGATGGATGGCCTAGTCGCTGGTGCCACAAGGAGACAGCTTGAATGGAGTTATGGATGGATTTTGACTTGGCATGGAACCCACAGGAAGAGCTTTTCGATATGTAATAGAGACCATCAATGAAAAACCCCTCACCAATCGTCCTCTTGGTTATACAATCCTGAAAAATGACATTTTTTGGTGAAAAAATGGCCAAACAATTTAAGGAATTTGTGATTCTTCCCACTGAGAGAAGTTGAAATGGAAAAGATAGGACATAGAGGGCCGTAGACTCTATTTGATCAGATATCAGATGGATTTTTCCCTTTCCTACAATCCTAGCACCTTCACCATTAGCAACACATACATGTGAATGATTATGTAGTTTCTCAAATTTATGTAACTTTGACATTTGATTAGTCATATGGTCTGTGGCACCAGAATCTACAACCCAAAAATCATGTAACTCATTTATTTTAAGAGCAGTTTGGAAAGCAGTTACAATACCTTTCAAATCTGTCTGAGGTACACAATCAGCATCAGCTAAAAAACCTGCAAATTTGCCCATCAATGCAGTAGTACTTCCATCTTCATGATCAACAGATCCTTCCTTTCTTCCCTTCTTTTGTTGGAGATACACTGCGAACTCATTTAACAGGGTGGCAGGATTTGCAGTGAACTGTTGATAGGTATCAAAACTGTTGATAGATGAAGATGTTGCAGTGTTGGCACGAGGGTGTGCTCGACTTGTCTTTGGTGCGGATTTATCCTTCATGAAGTCAGGTTTGAGTTCTGGATGTAGGATCCAGCACTTGTCTCTCACATGCCCGATGTTGTCACAATGTAGGCACTTCAAATGAGGGTTTTTTCCTTTATACCTTTTTTCATTTGTCAGGTAAGCCCTAGCTTCTGTCACGTTGGTTTTTATACCATTATTCATGACTTTTCTCCTTACTTCCTCACGTTGGATAGTTGCACAGACACTAGTGAAAAATGGTAGCTCCGGGTTCATGAGAATGTGACTTCTCAAATCCTCATATTCTGAACTTAAGCTAGACAATAATTGAAAAATTTTATCTTCTTCAGTTCTTTTAAGGAGCACTGAGGAATCAATAGTGTGAGGTCTGTACACATCTAACTCATTCCACATGCTTCTCAAAGAACCAAGATGTTGAACAAAGCTTTTACCTTCTTGCTGTATATTGGAGATATCCTTCTTGAGTTGAAAGATGCGAGCTGCATTGTTTTGATTTCCATACATCTCCTTCACGGTGGTCCAAAGAGTGAGAGACGACTCGGAATAGCTGAAGATTTCAGCAATCTTCATTTCCATAGAATTTAACAACCATGACATGACCAATTGATCTTTACATAGCCATCCTCCAAATTCTGGAGAAGAAGCATCTGGTGCAGGTTGACTGCCATTGATGAAACCAAGCTTGGATCTTCCACCGAGAGCAAGACTAACAGCCCTTGCCCATGGCAAATAATTAAACTCATTCAATAACATTGAACTTAGACGTTGGTTTGGATTGATATCCATTTCAGATGCGCTTATAGATGGAGAAGCAATGATGCTTACATCCTCTGGACTTCCATCTGCCATTGTTTTTGAAAAATAAACACAGCAGTTTCGATATACATAATAGGCTCAGAATGATGCCCGCTCTGATACCATGTAGATTTTTTGTGGTATTCTGTCTATATTTTCATACAAGGGTTACACAAAATATATATAAGAGTTTGAGTGAGTTGCAAACTGCACTCAACACTCATGACAGCCAGCATAAGATTCCATGCGCTCAACACTTACGACAGCCATCATAGGATGCCACACTAATCTCCTTAAATCATGCAAATCATCTCTCCTAAAAGCATGCAAGACAACTAATCTTCCTTGAGGCATAGGGAGCCACTCGGCACTTGAATGATGAAAAGATCAAGAAGAAAAAGAAGGCTATTAACTAGATAAAAAACCCTAATGGAGTTGACCCTAATCATGAGTAGTCAAAAAGTAACCGGTGGTCCTTCCTTCAATACAGGACTCATAGTACTGTGCCTCCGAATTCTTGGACTTGTTCTTCCCTCTGAATGTTGTGCTTTATTATGACTTTGCTGTTTAATGAAATCTATCCATTGTTTAACCATCATTTCACTATAGTGATCAAATAGGACATTTGTTGAGCTGCGTAATATGCACCGGATGAATGCCTGCACAAAGCCTTGTATATCTTCCTGATACAACACACGTAACCCAGAGATCTGAACCTGACTTTGCTTGGCTAATGAACAAACATCGCAAGCATTATTGGACTTAAAAGGAAAATGTAACAGGTGTTTCGACATGAAATCTAGTCTAGAGGGTGATAAGTGATCCAAACGTTGATGCCACAACTCCGTAGGTGAGAGAACAAGGTTGCATATTCGTCGTGGGCTACCAGATTTTGTTGGAGCCAATGCCACCAAATAATAGAGCCCTCCGCGTCGCTTACCCAAACCAATCACTGTCTTCGTCGTCAAGTCCTGCAAAATACACCACGAAGGAAAAAAAGTTACGGAACAATGTAATCCACTTGTAATTTGATTCACAAACATCAAATCTACTTTGAAAGTGGGCACACACAACACATCTCGCAATAAAAAAGTAGAACTCAAGGGAACATTCCCAGTGGAGACTATGCGAGCTTGCTCTCTACTTGGTGATAAAACTGGTGACAAATTGGTGTTTTTGACACCATCAGTGAGTAAATCTGGTGAGGAGGTTATATTATCCGTTGCACCACTGTCTATTATCCATCGACGTAATGGCAACGGGGATTTTGACAAACCTGTCTTCATGGCAGCGACATTAGCTTTTGGAGTAATGGATGCATCACCTCCTTTATTATTCATTATGTGAAGAATTTGCTGGAATTGGGTGTCAGATAACCCAGACATCACCGACTTCATCTCCTCCAAAGTGGCACTTCTGAAACTTGATTCGCAAAGGAAGAACTGCCTTCCTTTTTAGAACGATTGCGCTTGACTTTGTGGAGACGATGCCCTGATGGATATCCGTGAAGATGGTAACAAGTATCGATTGTGTGAAAATCATGATCACAATGAGTACAGTGCAGAGGTTTGCGACTGGAGGACCCAGACGACCGCGAACCACCTTGTCGAACAGCCATAGCTGCTGTCTCGGTGACTCCGCATGAGACAGTAAGAGATCTTTGCTTCTCTTCCTGGGAAATTGAAGCGTAAGCCTGACGAACAATGGGTAAAGGATTGAATGGCACCATAGGACTCATTGAGGCCCATAAGAAATTGCATCAATTTGTTCCTTTCATTCTGCGCTCAACAAGTGCAGGAAGTGGAGTCACTGTAAGACGCCAGTTCATCCCACAATTTCTTCAATTTCGTGTAGTACGCAGCAATAGAAAGTTGGTCTTGGGTAAGAGAAGCGATGTCCCGTTGTAACTGGAAAATCCGAGGGGCATGGCTTTGTGAACAACGCTCTCGCAAAATTGCATGAGCATCAGTCATGTAAAGGATACTATCAGAAATTTCTGAATTAATGGAGTTGATAATCCACGCAAATATAATGTCATTGCATTTCTGCCATGTAGCATGGTTGTCCGATTTGGTCTTCTAGGAAGGCTAGCTGTGTGACAGTACCATCAACGAAGCTGAGTTTGTTTTTGGCACTCAGGGAGATCCTCATTGCACGGGACCAGGTCGAGTGATTGTTCCCTTTAAGGGGCTTCGAAACTAGCATCATAGATGGGTGATCTGAATTATGGATAAACAATGGGTTAACCGTGCTTACAATATCTTGAATAACCTTGGTTTCATACCTGCAAAGAAATAGATAACCATCTTCAGTATAAGCAACAATCTCATATTATTGATACGGCTCGGATGCACCCTTAGTTCAACAAATTCATCTGATTCATAGTTTGACGGCAAAGTATTTAAAGGACATGAATCCCAGTCCAAAAGTGCTAACTCATTAGAAAGATACTTGATGTTTCCAGAAAAGTTCCCATTCCGAATTTTGAGCAATCTCAGCCTGTCCATCTTTAGAAGGGGATGGTTAACATTCAAGTTAACCTCCTCTTCTTTTGGCAAATTCAACAATATACTTTGGACAGCAGCAGTTTCCTAATATGGGGGAAGAAAGAGTAGTTGTAGCACAAGTTATAGGAAAATACAAAGACTATAAATTAATTAGCTTTAACAATATTGAATCAGTATTTCTACTAATCTCTTACCATATTACTTTCAAGAACATGAGTAATTTCTTTGGAAAGCCACAACCTGCTACGGCTACCCACCTCTTCAGGTCTCTCCCGACAAACAATTTCCCAACCCATTTCTTGTATCATATCGTGCATCGATAATTTTCTTCCAACCGGAGTTAGAAGACATTTTTCCATGAGAACTTTTATATCAATGACTGGATGGTAGCCATAGCTACTTTCCAGTATTCTTGTTATACGATGCTTGTCCTCCCCTTTAAAGAAACATGCAATGTCCAAAAATACTTTCTTTTCTATTTGCTGTAATCCATCATAACTTACTTTAAGCACATCGATAATTTTTCTTTCAGGGTTTTCCTTTAGTCCATCCAATGCACTTGACCATTCTTCATTGCTTCTGCGGAAAGGGGACGAACCTAGAACTTCAATAGCTAATGGAAAGCCATTAGCATATACTACAAAGTTCTTAGATAGCTCGAGAAAATCCTTTCCAACCTGGTTTCCCTTAAAGGATTTCTGAATAAATAGCCCAAGAGCTTCATCATCAGTCAATTCCTTAACTTGATATCTTTCTTCCACTTCATGTTCAATCAGCAAACGTTCATCCCTTGATGTGATTATGATTTTACTCCCCAAACCAAACCATGTCATGTGACCACAGAGAGCATTCAGATGTTTTACATGACCCACGTCATCAAGAATGATAAGAGCCTTTTTAGTATGTAGCCTCTGGCTTAATATCCGGACTCCCATCTCCGGATCCTTAATGTTTACATCACATTCCTACAAGATATCTGAAATTAGTTTCTTCTGTAATTCGGCTATACCTTGCTTTTCAGTTACTTCTCTAACATTGGCAAGAAAACTGTAAGCTTCAAAGTGTTTTTTATCCTTTCAGTAACTACTTGTGCAAGCGTTGTCTTACCCATGCCTCCCATACCCCAAATCCTATGACGCGTACTCTGTAAATCCCTCCAACAATTGTTTGAATAAGTTTCGATTCATATCTGCAAAAGATAGCAACTAATAATAAGAATACACCATCTCATGATAAATTAGTCAGCAGACTCAGCACTCAGGTGTCCATCTTTTTTTAGGATCTTCGTGAGGAATACACAGGTGGACTGTAGGTTTTTGAGTAACATTACAAATTGCCAGGGTATTCATACTAATTTATTAAATTGTAGTAAATAGTGGTATTCCTTTTCACTTGTAAGTGAGAGACCTTAGGTTCGATTCTCGCCAAAAGTGAATTTGAATCACATTATTGCTAGCCCATTATTAGGCTTAGCCAACTTTCCCACTAGTGTAGACACTCCCCCACCCCTGAGTGTAGATAATATCGTTTTTTGAAAATAAAAAATAAAAACCGAATAGCAGGTCATATGTTCTTTTACTTTAAACTATTATAATCCATAGGGAGGAGAATTCAAACTTGAATGCAAGAGAATAGGCACGTTGTCCTAGTCAACGCCTAACCCAAATTTTCAATATCAAATCATATGTTCACCATTTTCACGTATGCATTGTAATAGTTTACTCTGGACGATGTTCATAGGAATTTACGGATCGAAAAGCGGATGTATGCGGATATTCCGTATTTAAAAAAAAAAAAGTATATATATGTGTACAAGAACTTATACTTTTGATATGTAAGCTAGTCTCAACGTAAGTTCATTTTGCTACAAAATTATTTCAAAAACTAGCTAATATTATTTCATATTCATATGTAATTAGAGATATTTTTAGTTTGAATTGGAGAAGGGAATTATGATCAGTTTGGCTTGATTTTTCTCACAAAGGGCCGAGAGTTTGAGGTGGAACTAACTGAGTAGTTTTGTCTTGATTTATTTTCTCTCAAAGATGAGGTGGAAAGATTGTAATCATTAGGAGTTTGCCTTGAATATAAAATAATGAACCATGTATACGTTAGGCGTTGGAGGAAAGGCTTGAGTATACAATAGGTTGGTTATAAATAATGAAATCTTGTATTACAATTATGTGTCAGGAGAAATGCCTATATAATAAAGTGAAAACTAAGAACTTAATTCTAAAAATTGGGCTTAAGGGATGAACAGGGGTTAACTCATATTCTAAGGTATTTAGAGTCAAGTGGTAAAACATGGTATGAGATGTGCAGGCTTGTATGCCTTAAGAATGTGTTAACGGGATTAAAAGGGAGTGAGTACATTCATCCATCTCATTTGCATATATCAAAAGGAATGTGATCTTGTACCGAAAAAAAATCTCTAGTTTTGAGTGTAATGTTTAATGTTTAAAATAATCCAATGTCTTTTTCTCAAAATAAAAAGTAATTCAACGTCATCCCTAGCAGCTTAGTTATGGGTTCTTAAAGGTAAGCTTAGGGCATGGAATTGGTCTTCTTTTGGATACGTCAACTCGGTCGTGGATAGTTTTTTTGCATGATTTGGAAGTTATGCAGGAGGAAATTGCTTCGCTTGGTCCCTCTAATGATACATTTGCACGTGACATGAGGCTTTTAGGTTACAAGAAATGTTTTTGAAGGCTAAATCACGAGCTCTCGCTGGTTATCTCTAGGGGATAGAATACTAAATCTAAATTTTTTCACTCCATGGTGGAATTCAAAAAGCTTCATCAATCCTTGGCATCAGTTGGTGTTGGTTCCCAAATATTGAATGATCCGTCTACTTACAAGATCACATTGTGATACACTACAAGACTTTGTTCTCCTCGGTCGACGATACAGTGAATACTAGGCTAGTTGAAAGAGTAATTCCTACAACAGTTAAAATTTTGGATCCTTTTAGTTCTTCGGGTCCTGATGGTTTCAATGCCTATTTCTATGTTACATGCTGGAGCATAGTTGGCCCAGATGTAGTTTTGGCTATTCAGAGTTTTTTCAGTGATGGGAAAATTCCTCTTCATTATAATTCTAACCGGGTCATTCTTATTCCTAAGGTTCCACGTGCAGACTCAGTTTATCAACTCCGTCCTAATGCTCTGGCTTATTTTGTCTTCAAAATCACCGCTCGTATTCTTACCTATAGATCGGGCCTGGTTGCCTCCAGGATTGTATCCTCTCAACAACATGCTTTTCTTAAAGGTCGTACCATCTCTGATGCCACCATTCTCACTTTCTGAGTGCTTGAATTTTCTTGATAAGCGATATGTGGGAGGTATCGTAGCAATCAAATTAGATATACAAAAAGGCTTTTGACACTTTGGAATGGCCTTTTTTGTAACGTGCTCTGAAAGCTTTTGGTTTCTCCCATATGTTTGTTAATTGGGTGGAGCAAAATTCTACGATCAGCTTATCTTTCTTTCTTATTTAATGGGCAAGTTTCTGGTTTTTTCCTGTTCTAGAGGTGTTCGTCAGGGCAATCCCTTGTGTCCTCTGTTAATTGGGTGGAGGTTTTGAGCCGTGACTTATCGATGTTAATTTCCTCTGGTGGTTCTAATGCATCCCCAACGGGGTATATGTGCCCCTTCTCATGTCTTATTTGGTGATGATATTATGATATTTTTGTGAGGCATCCGTGCTAAATCTTAGACGCCTTGTGAGATTTATTATGGAATATGGGCTTAACTCAGGTCAAGTAGTCAACAAGTCAAAATCTTTGGTTTTCTTGGTTAAATATGCGGAACCAAGCATAGATCTATCAAGAACCTTTTTGGTATTGGAGTGGGTTCTTTTCCATTCAAATACTTGGGTGTTCCCATCTTTCAAGGTCGATCTATGCGGAGTTACTTTCAGGACATTGGGGATAAAATAAAATGTAAACTCTCAGCTTGGAAGGGTCTTATGCTTTCTCAAGCAGGTCGTCCACAGCTTATCACGTTTGTCATCCAAAACATTTTAATTTATAGTTTTCAAGTGTACGCTTGGCCTCGTCTTCTTTTAAATCAAGTCCAACATTGGATAAGGAATTTTTTCTGGTCAGGTGATCTAGACTCTCATGGTACTCTTCTAATTTCTTGGACAAGTTTGTTTAGTCGACCAAAGCATCTTGGTTGCTTAGAGTTAAAGGATTTGGCGGTTCTAAATCTTTTGTTACTTTTAAAGCGTTGTTGGGATATTGTGGATTCCCACTCTAGTGGCTATCTTCAAGCATGCTCGCTTCTTGCATAGAGGTTTGGTTCATCTTTCTGTTTATAAAAAATCATCGGTGTGGCTGAGTTTTAGAAACATTCGACTTGGATTATAAGTGATGGTTCTTAAGTTTCATTTTGGTTTGATAATTGGTTGAGCAGTCCTTTGATTTCCTATCTTGACATCCGTGATACTCTTGCTCATACGGTCAAAGCCCTAGTGAGAGACTTTATACGTGGTTCTCATTGGGAATCATCACCGGATTTCATCAATCCTTTTCCTGAAGTTGCTGCTTTAATTATAGTTATTCCCTTCCGTTTTAGAAATCTTCCGACGCTTTATGTTGGTCTAGATCTCTCTCTAGTATTCTTATAGCTAAAGAGGCTTATTTTCACTTGCTTAACTTTGATATCCAAGTGCCTTAGGGGAAAATCATTTGGTCTCATCGGATCCAACCAAGGCAAAGCCTAATTGTTTGGAAAGTTTTACATGGTCGTTTGCTCACTGATATAGTGCTTCAACATATGGGAGTTTCAATAGTTTCTCGTTGCTTATTTTGTAATTCTGTTGGGAGTTTCAATGGTTTCTCATTGCTCATTTTGTAATTCTATTGTTGAGTCTCTATCTCACATTTTTTGGGAATGTTCTTGGAATGTGGGTCTTTGGTTTTGGTTGTTAGAGCTTTTTCATCATCCCTATCTTATGGTTAATCAGTGCTACATGTTTTTTTATGGAACTTTTCTTACATCTTTTTCTGGTTCTGCTCGAAAACTTTGGATTATAGTGGCTTACACTTTGACTTGGCTAGAGGTCGCACTTGGTGCGATGGCAAGTGCCTTCGCCCATAAGCGGTAGGTCTCGGGTTCGAGACTTGGGAGCAGCCTCTCCATAAATGGGGGTAAGGCTAGCCGACATTCACCTCTCCCAGACCCTGCTTAAAGCGGGAGCCTTGTGCACTGGGTACGACCTTTTTACACTTTGACTTGGCTCTAGTGTGTTTTTCAAGTGGTAGCTTATCCTTCGTGACTCCAGACTTGAAGACCATTTCAAATAATCAGGACAAAATCTAAAAACTTGGGTTTTTGAAGAATCTTATAGCTGTTTGGTATAACAGTATGTCCTGTCTGCTGTTTGTACTCTCTCTCTCTCTCTCTCTTCAGTGTTATTCCATATTGTCTAAGAGCATATCCAATGGAGTCCTTATAGAGGGACAAGTGGACCATATAAAATTAGCAGTGTTCTAAAAATGCCCTAGGCGCCTAGCAACCGAGGTGTTTTTGGGTAAATTGCGTGGAAAAATCAAGTGGCTAGGCGGGCTAGGCGGTCCTAGGAGGTTTTTTATTTTATTTATTTTTTATTAATTGCGTGCTTTTTTCTTTTTTTGGTTTCATGGTGGTATACTTATGGAAATGATGTATCTAATTTGCAAATGATGGATTCACTACAAGTTCATCCAATACTTATGGAAATAGTGTACCTAATTTGCATTTTATCATTATTTTATTATCCATACAAGTATAGTTTTTTTAGGTGTCAATATGCACTTATTTACAAGATATACAATAAATTTACCTAAATCCGCCTAGGCCGCCTAGGCGCTAGGCGCTAGCCTGCCGCCTGACTAGCGCCTAGCATTTTTTAGAACCTTGAAAATGAGTATAAAACAAATATAGGGACAATGAATCTCCAATTGATCAAAAAGTGAGTCCCTAAAGTATGGGGACTTGCCAGATACTTGGTGTATGTACCCACATATAGGAGCTGAAATGGTGGACCCAATAGGACAATTTAAGTGGAAAAGCAGGTGTGGATCCCAGTCACATGACCTTGTCTTTTTTCCTTTTCTTTTCAACCATTTAAAATGAAGGTTCCATATTGATTCTTGCTTTTCAAATTCTTTTACCGTTGAAAGATCAATGGTTCCAATTAAATACCGTTTCAATTTAGGTTACTCTCTCATGTTGGTTTTCAAATTCTTTTGTTTTCTCTTTTCATAATGCCTTAGTTGAAATATTAATATTTTCAATTTGGGTTACTCTTTCATTTTGTTCTCTCATCATTGAAATACCAAATTATCTAACCAAAACTTACCACAACTTCATCTCCTATACTCAGTTCACTTGTACTCAATTCACTCATTCTAGTTATGTTTTTGTGAAGAAATAAATTAGTGTCTGAATTTGAATTTTTTATTATTAAAATGTTCACAAAATATTTTACGAGAACGTAATGTTAACATAAACAAAAAATGTGCACCTAATCAAATTATCACATAAAATTGTAAAAACCTCAAATTCAGGGATTATACTATAAGGACTCTCACATTGGAGGCAATATTCCTTTACGGACACAAAGATTCTCTTTAAATCTTTAAATGAGTACTCAAAGGTGGTGGTAGGAGTCCCTAAATAGGGACTCCCATTGGAGATGGCTCTAAATATATGCAAATTCAGCAAACACCTTACCTTCAAAGGATAAGTTCAGAAATAGTAATCATTCGTCACCATAAAGTAGAGAACAAAAAACACAAGTCAGAACCAGTGCACCTTTTCCGACAAGTAGAAGTTGAGGGAGCAACACGATTAACAATGGCGCCGGCAAGTTTGTAGGAAATACGCCGGCGACGGAGACATGAAGAGCCTGAGGTCAGTATCAATACTCAGAGTCGGAGTTAACGCGTGTTAATTAAATCCCTCCGAAGGACAATTGATTTGTGTGAATGCTTGCAGACAATGAATACTAAATCCTCCAATAAAAATATGTACTCAACATAACTCTAGTTTGACTCCGCATCCCAGGCCTACCTGGATAAGTTCTTGCGTCCGGACGCCCGTATAAGGGATCCTTGGTGGACAACCGGCGGTATAACCCCCATTAGTATCTCTCTCATACAAAATCAGAAAAAGTAAGCACGCGGTATATAGAATAGAATCAACAGACGAACAAAGTGAAACCGAGACATATGCGCATACAGCAACCCCCATCATCATCATAGAGAATTGGAGGCAGTTGGATTCTTGCAGAGTCACTTTCGTACAAATCTAATTAGAATTTAAAACATGATCAATGCCTTGATAAACAAAGCTACAACTAATAGCACACCATTGCAGAACTGGGGTTGGTATCTCCACCAAATGAGAGTCGGATTCATGGAATCACTATCTTACATGGAGGGCAGCTTACAGATGGTGAAAATCGGATCCAAAGAAACTCTACAATTCTTACCCCGTCTGTCACCTTATCTCAATACTTCAGTTGACACTCGTTTTCTTTTTCCATTTTGTGCTGCGACGAGAGGGAACAGTTTAGATCTTGCCATCTAGTTTCAATCAGCTGTTTCCTCACTGCACAACCCACAAGTTCACCCCAAATACTATTTCCAGGATATTCTGGACTGCCTCCATTTGGCTCTGCATGAATTCCAAATTTGCTATCGGGAGAGGGAAAGTTCGATCAAATCTGAGTCTCCAACCAACAACACCCAGGTGGCACTTGTATTTGCAGCAATGAAGTGACTACTCATCTTCTCAAGACGAGAATTCTTTTAGGCTACTGTTACCATCTGATTCTGACTTATCACACACCTCTGCTCCAGAACCCAAATGACCTTCTGGACTATCAAACAGTTCTCGATCTGGAAGGAAGTATCCATCCTCTGGAGGCTTATAGCCCTTCCCTCTCCAAACCACAATCTGTTCCTTCTCAAATGTCACCAGGATGCAAGGAACAAGATCCTGTAGCAACAGTAAAGTTTCAATACGAGAACTAAATAAACAGAAGCAATCATGCTATTCATGCATGCAAATACACATTTAGGTTTCGAGCGCAGTTCGCATCAACAAAGCCATGAAAGTTGAGACAGCAAGAAACTATTATGGTCTTTCGAGGATATTCAACCAACCGTTCCCATCATAAGACATGTCAGATACATGAAGAAACGCAGTAGGAAATCCACATGACTAGCCATTTGAATGCACTTTCAACTGTACACAGAAGTAAGCTTAAGCAGAGAAGAAAAAACAGGTTTGACAAATTACCCGAAGTTTGCAGCCTATTTTCTTGTAATCACTCTTCTCAAATCCCTGGCAATCTATCCGAATCAGCTCACAGCAGAGAAAAGCATCTCTGACCATGGATACCAAACTACCATAATAACCATTCTTGGCTGCAGTTTCAACAAGATTGTAAATAATAAGTAGAAATGCATCTTACTTCTCAAGTCATCGAGTCCATAAACCAGAAAAAGGACGTACCAAGTTTTGTTAAAGCAGGGACAGCTAATCCTCTCTTTCTCATTTCCTTTGTTTCCGCAATGCTTAGGCCATCAATTGTAGTTTTGATCAGCTTGGGATATACAGGCTCGTGTGGTTTCCACAACATTAATGGAATCACGGGCCTCTTCTTGGGGTTATAGTTCCTGCCTCTGTATAATACAAGTACACCACCATGTCTGTGGATGATTTTTCCAAAGGTTTTGTCCTGCAACATACACATGAAACCTGCATTTAGCATTTCTTCCAAGTTCCAAGAAATAATAGTGAATCATGTAACCATTCTCATATATAACTCAATTCATCATGTAACCATATTGTAAAAGACTCGAGGAAAAGAGAAAAATGAAACAACGATAGATCCATCAGAGGAAAGATACAGAGCAGTAATTAGAGAACATAAGATACCTCAAGCTGATTGCAAACATTTTTCATGTCAACAGTCGGAACACCTATACATTTTATCCTCACTGCCTCATCGAATTTCCAATGGTTATGAATATCATTCAGCATATTGTGAGTTAAACCATCTCTCCCTACAAGAAATTAAATCATAGTACACCATAAGACGATAACAGAGATAAATTAGAGGGGGAGATGAATAAACATAAAAGACACAGCTTATTCTTGTTTAGTAATTGCTTAGTGATATAAAAACCTTTAAACATTACAAGGAGGATTTTTGAAGGAATAGGGATTGCATCAACCAGTTTGACAAAATAAAACAAGCGAGAACAACCGGAAGAAGCAGACGCACCAAATAGAAACCAAGAACATAAGACCATACCCTTATTACTCACAAATGGCAGTAAAACCGAAATACAAAATACCATTATTATCAAATACTCTCCCCAGCTCCCATCTCAGAAACCTCAAAACCATAGCAATCAAAAGAAAAGCAGACCCCCAATCCAACAAAAACGGTAGAGAATACAAAACGAATAATCAAACACAATCGAAATAGACAATGTACAATACTCTGAACCTCAAGCAACTCAATGCTGAGTAGCCCTCGTACAAACTCTACAATAAAGCAATTATCAATTCCCCACATTCCTCAATCCAACAAAGCTAATGAAACACAAAGCAGAAATTCATACCCAAATTAATTTGCCTCTTGGTTTTGGGCCTCTGGCACTTTTCCACTAAGATTTTCCTCTCAGCCGGACTGAGAGGCTCTCCCTGAACCTTCTCTCTCCTCCTCCTCCTCTTCTCCTCCAACTTCGGGTCGTCCTCCACTCCCTCCACCGAGCGCACCTTCGAGTCCACGGCCGGGGCACACACTCCGATCCACTCGCGGTCGATTCGGCCCGGCCCAAAAGGCGAGTACTTGGGCTCCCGCAGCCCGATGGGCCTCACAGCCGGGTTGCTCTCGGTGTAGCTGTACCTGAAATCGAAGGGCAAATCAGAATGTATCGGCTTCTGACCCGTACGGTCGAGGGACGACAGCGGGCGGTACTGGGGTTTCTGTTTTTTCTTGGGGATATGATCAGGGTTAGGGTTATGGTCTTGGGGGTTTGGGGAAAGGGATGGTGGGGGTTTGAAGGAGTAGCGGTCGTGGAGTTTCGAGGGGTTGGAGAGGTGGCGCGTGAGAAGGAGTGCGAGTGGGTTTGGCTTTTGGCGGGAGAGCTTGGTGAGCAACATGGAGGGCTTTTCTTCGATGTGTGATGATTGAGTGTGAGCGGAAAGGGCGAGTAGAACGCGAGCGAAACTAAAACCCCCCTCCGGGGCTTTTCTTGGATATGTGATAATTGAGTGTGTAAACAATTTAGAAATTGTTGTAAATGATGGGTATGTTTGCCCACATGTGTATAGTAATGTGTATAGTAAAGTATCACATGTGTACTATATACTCATAAGCTAAATAGTAATGTTTTGTAATTTTCCATTGAAGTAGCTCTATAAATAGAGCAATTCAATTGTGCAAAGATTAGTAAATGAGAAGAAGAAAGAAAAGAGAAATATATCTAATAGCAATAATATACATTACTTCCTCTGCAACAGCTTGTGTCGGTATATTACTCTGCAACTGCTTCGTTCCTTCACCGAGTAAAGGTTATCTCTCTATAAATTTTGCCTATTTATAACACGTTATCAGCACGACTCTCTAATCTTTTTCTCATTTCCTTTCACCGAAAAAAAAAAAAAAAAATGTTTCCTCTAAGGTTTTTTCTGTTCTTCTTCTTCCTCTCCCTCAATTGCTGGGTATACCCTCGCGAAGAACTGTTTGCACCATGTTTACTTCTAGTTCTCCAACTAACTGTCACTTATATCTTTGATTTCTTGTTTGGTGTAGATATTGACTACTAACCCACTGATTATTTATGCAATCCAAGATTGTGCGGTTCTATCGCCTATCTTGGACTGCAGATCTAATTTTACTGCAAATTTTAAGTGGAGCGGTATAATCGCCCGCTCTATCCTGCATATTTAAATTTTCCCGTTATTTAATTTTATCGCAATTTTAGGTGGTGTGAAATAATCACCCACCCTGCTTTACATCTTTAATTTTTATCGCAATTTTAGGTGGTGTGAAATAATCACCCACTCTGCTTTACATATTTAATTTTATCGCAATTTTAGGTGGTGTGAAATAATCACCCACCCTGCTTTGCATATTTAATTTTATTGCAATTTTAGGTGGTGCGGTATAATCGTCCACCCTGCTTTGCATATTTAATTTTATTGCAATTTTAGGTGGTGCGGTATAATCGTCCACCCTGCTTTGCATATTTAATTTTATTGCAATTTTAGGTGGTGCGGTATAATCGTCCACCCTGCTTTGCATATTTAAATTTTATCGCAATTTTAGGTGGTGCGGTATAATCGTCCACCTTGCTCTACATATTTAAATTTTCCTGCTGTTTAAAGTAGTGCGGGATAATCACCCATCCTATACTTATTTCGATGAGAATGGTGCGGTACAATTGCCCTTCTCATTAATTGTGTAAATCTCGAGCCTGAAGTTTCGAGTACTTATCATTTTGGCCTGAAGATCAAAAAAAAAAAAAATTTGTAAGAACCAGAAGTTCTAACAATATATTTCTCCAGTACACATATTACTGCAAGTTCTTACACACCTCATTTTTCTTTCAGAAAAGAAAATGGCAAAACTTGGCAAAGCTTGATTTTGCTGCCCTGGACATTACTGGAAAGAATTACCTTACATGGGTACTGGATACCAAGATCCATCTGGAAGCAGCAAATCTTGGAGATACCATCAAGGAAGAAAGCAGTTCATCCTCTCAAAGATCGAGCAAAGGCCATGATTTTTTATTCGTCGCCATCTTGATGAGGCACTAAAGAGCGAGTACTTAACGGTTGAAGATCCGTTAGCCCTTTGGAATGCCTTAAGAAGCAGATACAATCACCAGACAACGGTGATTCTTCCAAAAAGCTCGCTATGACTGGACTCACCTAAGGATCCAGGATTTCAAATCAGTGGCTGAGTACAATTCGGCGTTGTTCAGAATTACCTCTCAGATGAAACTCTGTGGGGATACTATCACTGAGGAGATGTTATTGGAAAAGACTTTCAGCACATTCCACGCCTCTAACATGGTACTGCAACAACAGTATAGAGCGCGAGGCTTCACTGAATACAACCAGCTGATATCTGTGCTCTTGGTGGCTGAACAGAACAATGAGCTTCTCATGAAAAACCATAATTCCCGACCTACTGGATCAGCACCGTTCCCAGAAGTGAATGTTGCGTCCCTTGAAAGAAATACCATATCCTCCCGTGGCAATAATTACAAACGAGGACGTGGTCACAAGCAAGGTCGGTGGAAAGGAAAAAGCAAAAACCATGGTGTCCAGTTTCACAACCAGGTTCCAAGGTATAATCCAGGCCCGAGCTTTAAAAATACCAATCGCCAGAAAAGGAAAAGCTCATGTGAACACTCCTAGAAATCATGAAGGAGGTTGCCATAGGTGTGGTGGCAACGGACATTGGGCGCGTACTTGTCGCACCCCAAAGCATCTGGTGGAACTATATCAAGCCTCCTTCAAGGAGAAGGGTGTCGAGATCAATTTTCCTTGACCAGGCTAAACCAATGGAAACTCCTGATCCAGTGACCAATTTATCAGGACAGTTAAACACAACCCACCTGGATGCTACAGACTTTATTAATGAAAGAGGGAATGAAGTTTATGGGTCCGATTGAATTATTTATGTTTAATGTACTCATGTTATTTGTACCTGTGGTTTAATGCTCGCATTTTCAATTCAATAAAAGTAGTATTCCAGTATGAATAAATTGCTTTTTCTTTACTCAGAGATCATGGATAAAAATTATGGTTATTCTCAAAACAAGATCAATGGCGGAGACTTTTGTCTTGCAGATAGCGCAACCACGCATTCAATACTTCGAGACCGAAAGTATTTCTCGAATTTGGGTACTTGCAAAAGTAAAGGTAACAACAATATCAGGACCATCAGATGTAATTGAAGGCTCAGGAAAAGCCCAGATTATGTTACCAAATGGAACAATATTGTCTATAAAGAATGCATTATATGCTACTCGGTCCATTCGAAATTTGTTGAGTTTTAAAGACATACGTTTAAATGGATACCACCTTTGAAACGAAAAGTGTAGAAAATGTGGAATATTTATGCATTACCTCCAACGATACCCAGAAGCGTATATTGGAGAAGTTGCATGGTTTATCGAGTGGATTGTATTGTACATACATAAAGACAGTTGAGGCATATACTGTCATGAACCAGAAGTTCATTGATTCAAAGGTTTACATGCTTTGGCATGACCGTCTAGGTCATCCAGGATCCACCATGATGCGTAGAATCATTACCAACTCTAATGGACATCCATTACTGAGCAGACACATTAATGTCCCGAATGATAATCCTTGCAAGGCTTGTTCCCAAGGGAAGTTGGTAATTAGACCATCACAACTAAAGGTTGATGATGAATCCCCATCATTTTTGCAAAGAATTCAAGGGGATATTTGTGACCTATTCAACCACCTTGTGGACCATTTCGATATTTTATGGTTTTGGTTGATGCATCTACCCGATGGTCACATGTTTGCCTATTGTCTACTCGAAATGTAGCTTTTGCGAGACTTCTTGCTCAGATAATTAAGTTGCGAGCACAGTTCCCAGATCATCCCATTAAGTCCATTCGACTTGATAACGCTGGTGAATTTACGTCTCAAACCTTTGATGATTACTGTATGGCACTGGGCATTAATGTTGAACACCCTGTTCCTCATGTCCATACTCAAAATGGTTTAGCAGAGGCATTTATCAAGCGGCTTCAATTAATAGCCCGCACTCTGCTCATGAAAACGAAATTGCCAGTTTCTACATGGGGACATGCCATATTACATGCTGCATCATTGGTTAGATTGAGACCCATAGCCAACCACCAATACTCATCAATACAACTCGTGTTTGGACATCAGCCAAATATTTCACATTTACGAGTTTTTTGGTTGTGCTGCTTATGTGCCTATTGCACCACCACAACGAACTAAAATGGGACCTCAGCGCAGATTGGGAATTTATGTGGGTTTTGATTCACCATCTATCATTAGATATTTGGAACCTTTGACTGGTGATGTGTTTTACAGCTCGTTTTGCTGATTGTCATTTTGATGAGACAATTTTCCCGTCGTTAGGGGGAGAAAAGACCGTTCCAGAAGAACGACAAGAGCTAACATGGGTTGTTCCCACCTTATCTCATTTTGATCCAAGAAGCACTCAATGTGAAAACGAAGTGAAAAGAATCGTTCATCTTCAAGGTATTGCTAATCAAATGCCAGATGCATTTAATGATGCTTCGAAAGTGACACAGTCATATATACCGGCTGCAAACGCACCTGCAAGAATTGATGTCCCTGTTGGACAAAATAAAGTGGCAGCGAATGATTCATCCAGTGCACGCCTGAAGCGTGGTAGACCCCCAGGTTCAAAAGATTCAGCTCCTCGAAAGAGAAAAGATGAGGGCCCAATTGAACCCAAATGATATCATTCAAGAAAAGGAATTGAATGATAAATCCACAATTCGTGACTCTGTACTTCCAGAAAAAAGAAAATGTCCTTGATGAGACACATGTCCCTGAAGAGACAGAAGTACATGAAAGCAAAGAAATATCCATAAATTATGCATGTACTAATGAATTGTGGGATCGAAATGAAATAATCATCGATGACATGTTTGCATTTGCAATAGCCACTGAAATCATATTAAGTGATGATATTGAGCCCCGCTCTGTTGATGAATGCAAACAGAGACAAGATTGGCCTAAGTGGAAAGATGCAATCCAGGCAGAATTAAAATCCTTGGAAAGACGAAGTGTTTTTGGACCAGTAGTCCAAACCCTGCCTGGTGTGAACCCCGTAGGTTATAAATGGGTATTCACAAGGAAACGCAACGAGAAAAAACGAGATTGCAAGATATAAAGCACGACTCGTTGCACAAGGTTTTTCACAAAGACCTGGAGTTGATTATGAAGAGACATACTCTCCTGTAATGGATGCAATTACGTTTCGTTACTTAATAAGTTTGGTGATTTCAGAAAAAACTTGACATGCGACTTATGGATGTCATCACCGCGTATCTATATGGAGAATTAGATACTGACATATATATGAAAGTCCCAGAAGGACTTAAGTTGCCTGAAGCAACTAACAAACCACGGGGTATGTTCTCAATCAAATTAAGGCGATCACTATATGGGCTGAAACAATCTGGGCGAATGTGGTATAATCGTCTCAGTGAGTATTTGATTAA